CAGACGGATATACACAGACATCGACGGATATACACAGACATACACGGACATACACAAACATACACACACATACACAGACATACACAGACATATGCAGACATACATAGACATACACAGACATACACACAAAGACATACACACGCAGACATACGCAGACATACATAGACACACACAGACATACACACACATACACACACACACATACACAGACATACACACACAGACATACACAGACATACACAGACATAAACAGACATACACAGACATACACAAACATACACAGACATACACAGACATACACAGACATACACACACAGACATACACAGACATACACACACAAATGGTACACAAACATACACAAACAGACACAGACAGACACGGGCACAGACATACGGAGACACGGACACAGACAGACACAAACACAGACACAGACATACTGAGACACAACCAGACAGAGAGACAGACACAGACACAGACAGACACGGACACAGACATACGGAGACACAGACAGACACAGAGACACAGACACAGACATACGAAGACACAGACTGACACAGAGACAAACACAGACAGACATGGACACAGACATACATAGACACCTTCAGACACAGACACAGACATAGACGGATACCAAGACATAGACGGATATACACAGACAAAGACGGATATACACATACATACACGGACATACACAAACATACACACACATACACAGACATGCACACACAGACATAGACAGACATACACAGACATACACGCACATACACAGACATACACAGACATACACGGACATACACAGACATACACACACACAGATACAGACACAGATACAGACACACACACACGAAAGATAGAGAGACAGACATAGATACAGACACACACACATACACACACACAGACACAGACACACACACACACACAGGCACATACAGACACACACACACATACACACACACATACACACACAGACACACATACACACAGACACACACACACACACACAGACACACACACATACACACACACACACACATACACACACTTGGCGGAGGACTATTCCGTCTTAGGTAAGTTGTACTCTGCCCTCCATGGCTTTATGAATGAATGGTTCGTGGCCCTGTGATACGTACAATGCTTCACACGTATGAAAAGGGGGGGGCGGGGTGCTTGGGGGGAACTTGCCTACGGTTGCCAAACCAATGGGGAGCGGTTTGGGTGGAGAGTGAGAGCAGGGAGAGAGGAGTTGACTACTGCGTGCCGGATTCGTTTTAATGTCA